ACTTTATTCTAGTTGTACTGTTGAGGTTTTTCTTGTCAGAAGTCCCTTTTTAAAATTTAGTAAATGGTAGCCATTGTTTTCTATATTGAACAGCTATTTCTTACATTTAAATAACTTTTTTATTAATATTGGGCTAATCAACACACCAGAAAATTAATGTAGTTATATATCTTTAGACTGCAATGAATTATCAATAGAATAAATTATTAAATAAGAATTAAGAAAATCAAAAATCAACTTATTTAAAGGCAAAAGTTTCAGCAATTTTTCAAAGGCCCTTCAGCGCCAGCCGATACCGTACCATCTCCCTTCTCACAAGTTGTAGTTGCTGTAGTTCATTTACGTCACACTAGAGCTGCACAATGGGCTATTGGCGACGGTCTGGGAAACATCCCGGAGGATGATCCGAAGACATGCCATCATAATTTTGATCCTCTGCAGAGGTGATGGTACCCCCGCTTCGGTAGCCCGACGACCTGCACGCGAAATCGAGCACTTTACGGTAGAACAGTTTAACGAGGACCAATACCGCACACCCTCGGTCCCTACTCAGAGTGGTCACGCACCCGCACACTGACCGCAGCCAGTGATGCTTGACTTCGGTGATCTGATGGGAACCGTGTCTTAACGATCAGTCCACGGCGGGACCCCTTCCCACAAGTAGTGATGCCATTTTCGAACAAAAGCGTGATCCGGCCACTTTAAAAATTTAATTGCTCGTAACCAACATGTTTTTATTTTATTTATTTCTATAACCATCGTTGAACACCCGACCCAATTTTGTGTTTACGACTACTAATGCTTAACTCCGTAGCCTCGTAACTTTGAACCAATCCAGAAGACAAGGAAACTCCTGGATCAGTACCCCCAGAGGTATGATTTGTTATGGGAGCATGGGGGATTTTGTGACTCGACAGATTTAACGCACATCAGTCACCATTTACTACACGGGGAGTCTTCGGCCGGTGAGGATCGAAACCACGACTTCTTTGACATAGGCTCAGTGCCCTACCAACCAGGCTATCCCGGACTATAACCAACATGTTGTGAGATTTGCAAATACTATAAACGTGGTGATTTAATTTTATTTTCTACGAAAAGTTGAAAAACAAAATCACCACAGTATGAAAAATGGCGTTGTTTACTCCACTAATGTTACTTTCTCTTTAACTCTACTAATGTTACTCTGACTCTCTCTAATGCTCTATGATAGATGCAAAACCACAAAATAAGGTGTAAGGCTACAAAAAGAAAAAAAAAAAGCAGAGACAGTTTAATAAAATATTGTGATTTGGCATAAATTTAGACGGTTTAAAAAGCCAAAATCTTTATGGTTTTGACTAAAGTATGCAACGCTATTTTCTCCTGAATTTTAATTATTTTTGCAAAAATGAAATCTTATAACATCTCTTGTAATATTTGTCACATGGAGTAAAAAATTCTGTTAAAATTGCCGTACTGTATGATAAGGACATTTCTGATTAAAAAAAAAAACATCATCATTCTGGTAATGAAAACCAAAATACACGGTACTTAAATCATTCATTTGGTAATTTTTCCATTAACATGGTAACAGTTTACCGTTAATTCTGGTTTCCAAATTTTATCCCATATTATAAAACCATATTTTATTCTTAATTTTACCAAATTCATAACGCAGAAACACTGTAAATTTTACAATATTCCGGGAGTATTGACATATTTTTTCTCAGTTTAATGTGGTAATTTTTGATTAAAAATGCCTATTTCTCTAACGAACGCTATATAGAAAGTTTTGATTATTCGTTCAAGAAATTCGGTAAAAATTTCTAAAATAAGAGCTTTTTGAATCTGGAATGTGTAAACTTGCTATAAATATAGTATGATATCCTGTCACATGTATAGACTGCTTTATAAAGCTCGTAATTTCCATGTTAACTTTCAAAAGGTTATAGCTATAAGTGGAGTCTACGTAATAAAGTAGATATGCACTATCAGATGAGACCAGTTACAGCGCCACCTGGTAGAAACTGTGGCATTAGCATTTTTGATTCAAAAACCATACACGATATGAGGAAGAATTTGAAAGTTGAAGAATTATTGATTTAGTATGAATAGACAGGCTTCTTGTGGAGATAAGATCCAAGAAAACAATGATTAAAACAACGCATTTGTATGTTCAAATTTTCTTGCAGACAGAGGACACAATTTACATTCGATTAAAAATTTAAAAAAAATATTTATTACAAGATACCTTTTTTCGATTTTAAAACTTTTTTAAGAGCTTGACATCGAAAAAATAAAGGTAGGTAGCTTGTGATAACTAGTTTTCCTTCTTCTTCCTGAGATCGTTTTGTCTCGTCAAAATGTAAGAAATCGCGAACAAACAAATGCTTATTGTTTTAAGGATTTTTTTCTTTCCATTTATACCCACAAGGAGTCTCGCACAACGTTGGTGTATAAATTTGTAAATCAATTTTGCCCAATATCTTATACTGTTTTTCGAAAAAGGAATAATTTTTTGGGGTACTATATATTTTTATTTTGGACATAGCTGTAAATGCGTATTTGAGAAAATGGACATGATTCAAAATCCACGTTTACGAAAATAAACTTGGCTCAAAATGTAAATTTAGAAATACGGACACGGCACAAAATGCCCCCTTTCAATGTTAACTGAAATTTTAACAACTGAACAAGAGACTTTGCTCATATTTTTAAACACATTGTATGCATAATTATTACACCCCATTTACACAAGGCCTGGTTAGGTGTTGCTAGAGCCCCTGAATTAGTAGCCTTAGTCCTGATATCAGGCTAATGACGTCACAAAACTGACGGAAACTTGATATTTCACCTCGATTCTTCTAGCCTGCTTTCAGGCGAGCAATTGCGATCGGAACGCCATCTGGGGATTAGAGAGATTCCATGGCGTGACCCTTCCCTCTCCTCTTTTTCTCAGTTGTATAGGAATGCACTACGATATTTTCCGCTTTCTTAATATTTTTCGTATTTAATAGTTACAAATATTTTTTAAAATTTCCACAATTTTTTTGGGAGCTAATTCAATGTAGTTTTCAGTTCCACATAGTTTCCTTATTTAAAAGTTCTTAACCTACTTGAAAATTAAGTCAGAAATTAACGTACTTCGCTATCCTATGACTCTTCACACGCTAATGGTGAAAGCATGCGAAGTGTTGCCATAGGTAGAGAGTTCTGCTCTAAGCCACCTGTAACCCATTTCGATTGCCAATTGCTAGGGAAGACAACTTCGAAATTCGGGTGCATGATTAATGGCTCTTTACGTCACGTGGTTATTTTTCACTAATCCTCGCAAGGTGGGGCTCTAAATATCAGGAATAGTAAAAGCCCTTTTTACAGGCTTGTGACGTAATTTTTTTTTTTCAAAAGCCTTTTTTCAGTCTTCGAGTAAATAGATTGTTACGGAGCAATATTCTGGGTTTGGGGTGACTGCGTACTTTATAAATGCAACTTTTCCTAAATGATTTCTTCGCATTCAGATCCTAACACGATAAAGTAGAATTTAAAAGATGAAACTTCAACAAGTTTTAACTTATTTTTGCGATAACTATTATTAAATTATAAGACCTGTGGCAAACATTTAAAAAGAACTACAGACCTTTAAAGTCTCTTAAAAAAGACTACATTTAAAAAGAAGTGGTTTATATAAATGGGAAACTTTAGACATTTCGAATTTATTAGGTTTTATTTGTTAAGCCCTGTAATATTATTTTTAAAAGGAGTTTGAAAAAAGAAATCAAAGGTTATGTTCAATTTCTTAAACACGAACATTGAGTTGTGTCCATTTTCTTAAATACTTATTTTGCAATGTGTCCATTTTCATAAAAGCGCATTTTGAACTAAGTCCATGTTTTTAAACATGCATTTTGAGCTATGCTTAAAATCAAAAGCTCATCAACGCAGTTACTTTATTTTAAATAAAAATGTTAATTTTCTTGTTATAAGGCTATTTCAAGTAAAAAAATTCTGCAAATGAAGGTATATTTTTAAGTTTTAGTAGCAGAAATAATTAATCAAAAATTAATACTACTTAGGCTGAAAAAATCGGGTGAAAATTTTTAAGACTGTTAAAGTAAAATTATAATTGTTGAAGTTTCGATTTCTGGGGAATTATTTAACTGTTTTCATTGAAATTCTAGATTTTGTAATTAAAAATTAAATTATTTAAGAGGGAGTCAAAATTTAAATGTCTTGCAATTAAGAAATTTTTTCATTAATTATATTAAGTAGTAAAACATAAGAAACATTTCGTAAAAATTATTTTTTGCACAAAATATTTTTGGGTAAACAAGTTTAAATGGGTGCAAGAATATTTTGATAAATGTTCAAAAATTAAAAATAAGTAAATAAAATTAACAGCAAGGGGACCAGACTTTTAATCGCTCTCCTGGCTATGTAACTCGAATTATATTTTGAGAGTCAAAATCAAATTTCTTAGGAAAAAAAAGAACAAAGAAAATACGTTTTTCTGCTTGATTTCTTTACTTAATTCATAGTTAGCCTTATTTAATAATGAGTTACCACTAAGTACTTAGTATCCTCATTGATGTATTAAATTTGAGGGGGATATTAGCGAGCGAAAATCAGATCATGATAAGGCATCAAAAATTATAATTTTTTTCTTTTTTAGCCATTGTTATGATCCAAGCAATCTTTTTAATAGTTAAAGAACGGGGAAAAGTTATAAGTCACGCTTTTTGCAGATGCAACATTTTAACAGCAAACCACTTAATAATAACCAAATAGGTAAATCACAAATTTTTGAATGTGTTTAAAAGTTCCATCTGCAACAGCGCAGTATACAAAAACATCTTATTCCTCACTCAAAAATCGTGTTTTTTTTAACACAAACGTTTTTCTGGACAATTTGAAATTGTGGCTTATCGTGACAATTATACTGCCTCAAGTTCTTTTATTATTTAATTGTGTTTGATGGAAACAATGATTATGATTTTTCTTTATTATTATAATTTTTTTTTTTTAGTTTGATGGTGTCTGGTATGAAAATCAGCGTACATTTGCTCTCGCAGAAGGTGGGCTGAAATGTGCTAAAACAGTGATTAGTGGAGCGAACAAGGAAAGACTAAGAGCTTCTTTTAGACGGACAGGAGTCAATATATTGTAATTTAATCATCATTTCTTTAAAAGAGTGAGATTTCGTAACTTAAGGCTGTTTTTCGAAGGTTCTGTCGTCACATAAAATAACACATTTTCGCCAATAATACACTTTTGGCGATTGAAATGGGCTACAGGTGGCACAGAGCAGAATTCTCAAACTATGGCAATACTTCGCGTGCTCTAACCATCAGCGTGTAGATAGTTATAGGAGAAGGAAATACGTTAGTTTCTGCTTTGATTTTTAGATAGATTAATAATTTAAGGTAGGAAACTATGTGGAACTAAGAACTGCATTAAAAATAATTCTAAAATAAAGCGTCGTGGAAATTTTAGAAAGGAGAGAAGTCCAGCTTGTCGAATACATAACTAACGCTAGTTCGATGAGGTATGCTATATCAGAAGAACAACATACAGGGAGTGTAACATATTCAAATTAAGGAAAGCATCATATGTTAAGATCCAGCGCAGGAGCATAAGAAATACAGTGGCAGTCAGGAGGTACGTCACCGGTGTACCGGATTTTGGACAACTCTACATGTATGGTTGGGTACGCTGCCTCCCGCCAAATCATACTATCTTTCTGTGTCAAATGTGTTGCCAGATTTAATCCACATCGTTGATATGAATGCATTATCAAAAAAATATCTTAATTAATAGTATAGTACTCAACAGAGTAAAAATGCACAACAAAAACAGAACTTTTCTTCCCCTCCCCAACCCCAGTGGTTGGTGTGCAAACACTTTTCAAGAACCTCTGCTACTGTGCCCCTAAATGTTGATTTTTACTTTATACACAGGGACAACACCAAACTTTGGGGACTGGTTTACATTACATCTAAGGATGCTAGCCTTCTTTCCCTAAGTATATTCTTTAGCATATTCCCATACAACTGAGAAGAGGAGAGGGAAGGAAGGAGACATGGAACCGCTCTTTTCCCCAGATTGGCGTATTCGAGTGTTGCGATCGCGAATTAAGTCTATATTTAACCAGCGTCCTCTATAATTCTGAAAATGGCGTGAAACGTCATAAGGAAGAAAAGTCACAATTTTAACGAATGGATGGTTAGCTGAATGCAAAGAATTACAAACTTCCTAAAATCGGAAAAAATTAAGAAAACTTCCGGTGAGTATCTCCGCTAATGTTATGTTTATGTGGATATGTGTAACCAGGCTTAAGATTCTAGGAAGTTTTATTATTGTGATTTGTGTTCAAATTTCGCTGTAGAGAGAGTTTTACCAATCATAAGAGTTTTCTGTAATTTATAAATTCTAACAGGACGTGAGTCAAAAACAAATTTAAGAAAATTAATATCAGAGCATCAATAAGTAGCCATGTTTTGTGTGTTATCCCTTGGTTGGCTATATTTGTGTAAAATAGCACCGTTTGTTATCTTTTGGGCAGCATAATAGTAAGCTTGCGAAGTCTTAACAATTCATTGGCTGTTTATTTCGTTGAAACTTATATTGAAAGAACGCGTTATATTGAAAACATTACAAGTATAATAATATTGGATGGTGCGTTTTTTCAAGCTTAGGCGTAAAAATCAGTCGAAAGTGGTAACCCGGAAGTCTTATGGCGAATTTAACCCCCACCCCCCAACGCTATCTGCGCTTAGCTTTACACTGTCAACCATTCATATAAAAAGCGTATATGATATAATTTTTTTTTATTCAAAAAATATAATTCCCAGCTGTATTATCTGGGTTCTTAAATTTAAAAAAAGTATTATAAATTGACTTTGATGATTTACATCTAGGTAAAAAATTTAACCAAATTTGCGATTTTTTTAAAAAAAAAAAGTTTAATAATTTTTAAAATATTTGTTCGTTCTAAAGCCCAGATAATGATAGTATATATAGTTTAAACTTTGCCCCAAGTGTGAGGTACTTAACTGTGGCTTTTTTATTTTATTTAAAGAAAAAAATTCCAAAAAAACTGTTAACATATTGTCTCGCACGTTCACATAAATAGATTCTGTACAAACTCAGTAGAGAGCCGAGATGATTCAAAAGTAAATGCAGAGTCCAGAACTTTCGTACGTGAATGTGCAAAATTCTTTTAATATTGCACCTCTAAAAAATTTCCGAAAAAGAAATTTTTTACTCAAGAGTTGTAACGTATCTTAACGTATTGTAGACAGAGTTTACCATACAAAAAAAAGTTTGTATGAAAAGAATCAGCTACTTGAGGTAGCGTTGGGGTGTTTTTTATACTAATTATTGGGTCCTCTCATTAAGTTGACGGCAAGCACGCACAATTAAGTTAATTTGATATTCTGGGTAATTAATTGTTGCAAGTCAATTAACTTTTTCAACTTTTGGTCGATATCCTTGTTTTTTCCAATACAAGCCCCAAATTGTAGTGGGCTGTAAGTATAAGTGACAGGTTTTAGGAAGACTCACACACCATATTACATACCAATTGGCTCACAAAATCACCTAACATGAACCACATAGAAATTCCGTGGGATATGTTTAGTGGGTAAAAAAAAACGGAATTAGTGTTTCAGTAATTTGGTGCATTTGTGCACGATCAAAGTAATCGCTAAATCGAGTGGATTCCTTTCCTAACCGCTATAGGTGAGAATCGCGTTCAGTGGTAGTATTAAATTATGCTTACATGATTTCCCTAGCACTGACCTCGTATGGAAGCAATACTATGAAATAGTTTGATGTTCCATAGTCATGATAAGCTACTTTTTCTAAAGTTGTTGTTGCAGGCAATTGAGGCAAGGGGTGCGATTGTTCTTGCTTTTCAGTGGCACCATCTATGTCTAAGAATTTGACTTCTGCCATACCCGTTTACAGGGCAAACCCATTCATACATCCACAGATCGCAATTTTGACCTGTACCAGAGAACGATTTGTGGCGTAACTACCACTATAAATATTAAATACCAATTCTCTAGTATATAAAACGTGTTAACTTGATTCCATCAGGAGGTACCTTTTGATAGATGAAGGTTGATATAGTCGATAATAAAATTCACCACAGATCAATCTCAATTCAGTACTCCCCAAGCTATAATTTGTTATGGGAACATGGAAGACTTTGTGACCCGACAGATTTAACACGCATCAGTCACCATTTACTACAGGGGGAGACTTCAGCCGACTGAATTCAAACTCCCGTGCCTCGAACGAGAGTCCAGCACCCTGCAAACCAGGCTCTCCTTGCCACACTTTTTATAATAGTGCAGAAGAGTATTTTTGGTAAACAATAGGATGTATTAGTGTATTGGCTGTTATCAGAAACTGGTAAATATATATCTGGAAACAATACTGAGGAACAGCTTGAAGTAAAAATGTAACCTTTGGAAAAAGTTTGAAATGTTATTGTATTACCTCAAGCCTTTGAATTATTTTCTTGACTAATAAACAAACGTTCTTAATTTTAAAATTATTTATTAAGGGGTCACAGTACCCAAAAAATGACGAAAATACCAAAAAAATTTTTATTGCTTATAATAAAACTTCAAAGTATTTCAAATGTACAGAAAAAAATTCATCTCTCTATCTACATTTTTAAAAAAGTTATGAATGCTCAGCAGTCTGACTTTAAAGTGCTTTTTCGCATAGATGATAATTTTGTGTCTTAATCTTAATTAAATCCCTAAGGAATTTTTTCTATTTAAGATAAAGCTTTGAAGTAAACTTTTTTATCTTGAGTATAATACACTTATTTAAACTGTGCATGGAATAAGCATTTTATGAGGTATTACAATTTTTACGGCATGTTATATATACCTAACAGGAATTTTTACCCTTTTTTTTCTACTTTTTTACAAAATAATCTATAAAAAATATTCTAATTGATATATCAACAAATGAATGCACAAAATTGTTAAGATAAATATTGCAAGCACTATGAAAAAAACTTTTTTTGAAAATATGTTAAAATAAAAAAGCCTTAGGGATTTAAAAATTTAGAATTTTTTCAACTTTTTTTAAAATTTAAAAAAAATTAAACAGTTTAATTACTTTTTGAAGATAAATTATTGATTATAAATTAAATGAGCATGTAAAGCATCCTCAAAATGAATGATTATACCTTTATTTTAAAAAATTGTTGCAAAGGTACTGTGACCCCTTAAATTTTTAGATTTACAAAAATACAGTTACTTCTTCATGGCATAAAATAACCTGATTTTGATTATTTTTTTTTAGAAACCGAAAAGTAACTTTAATGCGTGGTTATCTGCATACACCTCGAGGAGAAGCACCTGCTAAATTAGAGCTTGTCATGGGACCACGTAAGTATTTTCATCAGTAAGCTCGAAAAGCTCTGTCGTTTTATGAATAACGCCTTTTAGCCAATATACAATTTTTTAACCGTCAGAAAAGTGACCTCAGATAATCCATAACCAACGTCCCCAACATATACAAATCCTCTACCATTGAAGGTTTTTTTGGACATGATTTTTTCAAAACTTTTTATCAGGATTTAAAAAGACGCAAGTTACATCGTGGGAGTAATCCCTCATGGCAAATTCACCTACATTAAATAATAAGTTTAGAAACAAATGAGTTCAGGTTAACCTAGAGTAAACAACGAAGTTTCAAATGCTGAAATTTTTTTCTTCAAAATATCAAAACATTTTCTCTAGATATACCTATACTCTTTTTATCTCAAATGCAGGGCCTGCGCTAAACATTCCCCAAATGCGGAAAAATAGATAACTCGGTGAAAGAAATTGTGTTTAGGAGCTTTTTTGATGAATGCTTTTTTTCCCCCGAAAAGAAAATATTCCCCATAATCCTAAAAAAAAAAAAAAGGTCAAAAGGAATTTTTTTGTACAAATGCTGCATTTTTTATTCGATTACAGTAATTTCCGTTAGACTTGTCGCCTAACCAATTAAGAGTTATAATAAATCTACATAATGTAAGCATAAGCAACAAGAGAGATTACGTAAGCCAGCGACAAACTATCATAAAATATAAAATACAGATTAATATGTTCGTCACCAAATCGCAGTGACAGATTAAGTGGTAGTAAGATGCATACTATCATTCATTTTGGCAGAAAATATATTTTCTCGTGACATCAGAATAATGTTGTTTCAGTTTTCTCGTTATCAGGGGGCCCCACCAGGGGGGAAGGTGGGTGCACGATGCGCCCACGTAAAGCTTGGAGGGGAATTTTTACACTAAATAAAACGAATAGTTTGGGGGGGATTTAGAATTTGCAAAAGAGCTTGGGGGGATGGGGGCCACTGCTCGTTATATTATTACCACTCTAGTTTAAGAAGTAATCAAAAATTAACCATAACCTATTCCTATTTCTTTTCCATTCATTGCTCAATTATTCTTTCCCAACTGCAAATTGACTCATCATTAGAATATGCATTTCATAAAATAATTCAATTTATAGTAAATTTGCATTTTGATTTGAAGTTGTTTACGGGAAAAAAATCAATCATAAATTTTTTTTAAGTTTTGTCTTTGGCTAAGAATCTTGAAAATTGCCTAATACTTTAGATATTTGGCTAATAATTTGAGGTACTTAGCGTAGGTCCTGGAATGGAGGTGAAACAGAATTTGCAACGAAACGTTTCTCCTGTGGTTTAGCGTCCTATTAATATCATGGTCACTTGTTTATCTGATCCTTTATTCCTTTCATACTCTCTAAATTTTTTGTATGTAAAGTCTTTTACATTTTTTGTAGTGGACACACAAAATCCTTTTAATTCTCATGTATTAAAATATTAATGCATGGATAATTCATTTTGATAACACTCAAGAAATAAGATTCAAGATTTCTTTTAGAAAAATAAATTTTGAATTTTTATTTCTAGATCATAGTTCAACTAATCTGTTTTGAGATAAGCTTAAAAACTGACATAGATAAGCAAGATGCTAAGGAGTTAAATATAAACCATTACCATTAAGTAGATATTAGGTTGTTAAAAAATTCTGCAACACTTGCGGAAATTTCAACTTTTATAAATTTTCATTTTGTGTTGTTGTTTTTAGTTTAAACTCTCATCAATAAGTTCTAAAGGACTTTAGGGGGTAATTCCTTATAGACAATTTGGGAGGAATACTTGAATATTTTTCTCAAAATATTTTAGATATTTGCATTTTTTTTAAGAGTAAAATCCACTTAGAGGATATTTTTGATCATTTAAAGGTATATTTGAAAATTTGGGAATATTTCTAGTCAAATGATTATATCTTTCAAGAATTTGTATTTTTTTTTTCGGGGGGAGGGGGGGATGTTTTGTAAAATCTTTTTCCGTGGAGTAATTTCATCAATAATTTTTATTTTACCTATGTAATATCTGAAAATGTTTAAAAAAAGAAAAACACGCATTTAAAGAAATTAATGCCATTTTTTGTGTATATTTTGCTGTAAATCTCATAGTCATATAAACTACATATTAGTATATATGTTTCATTAAAATAAAAAATCCAAAACTTTCAATTTCTCTCCCTCAATAATTCAAAAACATAACATTATTATTAAAATATTTTAAAAATTTATTAATATGCAAAAACTGGTTTGAAGTTTACAAAATAAACTATATCTAAAGATTTTAATTAAATTATTAGGAGTCTGTTTTAGGAGTTCTAAAAACGTGCTCAAATCCAATAATTTTACCTGTCATACTGTGATGTAATAATCACATACAAATAAAACTTTAAGTAATGATTTTTTTTAAATAATTGTCTCAAAATTAAACACTTCACAGTTTTGTAAATAACTTTAACCTAAAACAAGATTTATTTTCTGAGAAAGTACTGTTCACTGTTACATTAATATGATACATCATCATAAAAGAATTTTTTTTTTGCTAATATAAAAGATAAATTTATTTTTGTGTTTACTGGAATGGGGGCTCTAAGTCTTTGTAGGATGCACCCCATATGCCTTGGGGGGAATGGGTACCCCTGGACTGAGGTACTGAGATTGGACACAAAAGTCTGAAACTCAGGCCTAAAGCCTCAGAGTTGGCAGGTCTGCAGCCAGAAATATCACTTGTATGAGAGATAAGAGGGCAAATTCCCCCCTCCTATTATTTTGACAGGGGTGAGAAGGAAGGGGTTAAAATACATTTGATTACAAAGATGATTTTTTTCTTTCAAACGCCTTTCATTTAACCTTCAATTTCTTAATCTTCTACTATTCAGAGTATATAAAGAAATATACAGAAAAGAAACAAAACAAAGAGATATAAGAAAAACTTTAGAATAGGAAAAAAGCTGGCAATTATTTGTTTAAATTATGTCTATAATTTATTCTGTTGGTTAACATCATGGGTACTGATGGCAGGGAGGACAGCGGGAAAATATGTCCCCTAAATAATTAGAAATCTATAAAAAGTTCACCTCAATATTTCAGAGAAATAAAATTTTTTTCATGAATCATCATAGATTTGAATTCACCAAAGTTAAAAACAAGAAAGAGATAAATGCAATTAATCTTTTGAAGATATAAGGAAATTGTTTTCTAATGTGTTAAATTTAGAGAACTATTATGACATTACTTTAATATTGTTCCTTTCAAAAATTGGCCACCAGCCACAAACATGGTTATCATCTTAATTATAAAAAACCTATTAAATATATACACATTTTTTTATAATGCAATTAACGAAATAATGTTTATGCCATTCTTTAGCTATTCTGTGTTTCCCAAGAGACTTGGGTTATCAATGTTATGCTACATAACAATGTTAATGCTACATAATGTAAAAATTTTTTTTTTCAAAAATAAATTTAGTTCTATTAGTTTTCTGAAATTTTATTTTAGCTTTCACAACAGAGCAATAGAAAGAAAGTATTTATGAAGTAGCTTTTCTTGAAATTTATTGTGAACCACTTAGATTGTCTTTTCAATGGCAAGAGAATATAGGAGCATTTAAAGATTTTCCTAAACCTTGCACTTTAACCCCTTATGTAAGGGTATATACTAAGGGTCTTATGAGGTTTATATTTAAGTGGTTATATCTATAAAGTTTTATTTATTTATTTTCGTTCAATTTAAAGAACAATAATGAAATCTTTTATATCTTTTTATTGATATTTCAGTTCAATTATTTCTGCAATACCATGTTATTGATACAAATTATGATGATTATGCTGTTATTTGGGGATGTTTTGAATCACCAAAATACAGTCCTATTCTTGGACATACAGGTCAGTACCATAAATTATAGAAATCGAATAAGGTTAGTTTATATTCGAATTTGGATTTTTATTTAATCCTTGCCCTAGATATATACATTGAGATAAGAAATGACTTGAACAAAGTTTGTATCCATATATTTTTTATCCACCACCAAAATTGTAAAATTTTTTTACATTAAGTTTCGATCAAAGCAAACACCCAAATACATGTACCATTTGCCCTCATTTTTTTTACTGAACTCTATTTTATATCCTTATGTAATAAGAAGGGGAACTGCGAAGCCAGACAGTTGTTAGCACAAGTAGAAATTTGTATAAATTGTCTATCCAAATGTATGTATAAAAGTTGAGACCAGACGAGAATTAAATAGATTTTTCTGTTTGGTTCATTTGAAACACAAGGTTTTGAGAAAATTTAATAAAAATTTGACATCCTAAATATATCCTTGTGCAAAAAGGGGATATCATAATTTTTATAAGATGAAATTATAAGTGTAAGAAAAATCAAAGCCATTTTTTCCCCAAGTAAACTCAAATGTGATATTTTATAGTGATGAGAAAATTATAGGCACTGTGAATGCAAAATAATACATAAGCGAGGAAAAACAAAAATGCCATTGAAATTTGATAAAATCACAATAATGGAAGAAAGGTGTAGAAAGCATATAAAACCTGTTTGATAGCTATTTGAAACTTAACGGTGTTTCTTACATAAATTTTTAACTCTTCTCTGTTTACTACAGCAAGCATGATGTGCAAAACAGGTTTCGTTGTTCTACATGCTTGCCCCCTTAAATCGTGATTTGCAAACTTTTCTTATCTTAAACATTAATTTGAAAACACCTTTGTGGATACACTTTTAGCTTTCTGATAATTTTATAAATATGTATAACATTGGGTTATTAATTAATCTGCTTTTTTTGAAAAACTAATTACCCAGATTCAAAATAAAATAAAAAAATATTTGAATAAATTTTGATCTTTTGACTGGATATTCACATATTAAAATGCCATTTTGATGAGTCTAGAAACTAACCTTTAATATTGAAAAATATTTGTGCAGGATTGAGCAGATATTTGCACAGATTTATAAAAACAAGACACAATATACTATTATAAAACTTGCTCATCTAAAGATAATTCTACACAAGATAATAAGCTTGTATAATTATTTATTTTTTTTATTATTCTTTTTGGTAAAGGATAGAATTTTTTTGAAAGATTCCTCATACGAGACTCTTTTAAAAATCAAGATTGGAACTTCAAATATTATGATATTCATTGTTGTTAAATGTAATGTACATGTGTAAATTTGCAAATTAAAAAAAAAGAGAGGATAATTAAAAACATAAAAATACTCTATTAACAATTTCTTTTTAAATTGATGAGTTTGATCTATTTAATATGACTTAACATTTTATTTGTCTTGATCTTTGCTTAGAGAACTTATGGATATTATCACGCAACAAGACATTATCAGAAGAACATAAAGAAACCATCTATAACAAGTTGGATACTCTAAATATAAATCGTGCTGGATTGGTTGAGACTACTTTCGAAAACTGTACGTCTAGCAAATATTCTTAAAATTGAGAGGAGCCTTCAAAATACCCATTTCTTTTTCATATCATATTATGTATTAATCGGTTTTAATTTATTCAAATAAATCTTTCATTCATATTTACAAAGCTAGTTTTAAATAAAAACTATTCAACTAGATCAAAGTGTTTTTAATCTTATGAAAAGAAAAGCATATATGGGAAAGTTACTTTTAAAAAGTAACAAGTGCAAGTATTTTAAGCAAAAGTATTGAGTAAAAAGTTTCAATTTTGAAAAGTAATGAGTAAAAAGTACAAGACAAAAAAAAAGTAATGAATTTAAAGTACAAATTTCAAGGAAATCAAAATAACCTTAAATTTCCTTAAAAAATGAAAAAAATAAATAAATAAAACTTTTAATTAAAAATGCACAAAATTTTAATTTAAAAGCAAAAATTTTAAAACACAGAAAAATGTAATGAAATTCTTCAAAATAGTGAACATAGAAAAAATCCAGAAACTAAAATTTAATGTTTATATTTAAAAAAGAAGTTTAAGTTTACTTCAAAATTGCCAAATCTTAAGAAATTTGTTTTTACTTCTGGAAACTGTAGTAATAAATTAAATTGTAGAACAAATTTGATAAACATTATAACTCAAAATCAAAAAATGAACATAAAGTTTTTTTTTATTTAAAATTTAATAAACAAATTGATTATATGATAAAATTTGAAAAAGAAAAAAAACCAAAAATAATTAAACTCTGGAATTTATACCACCATTGATAAAAATGTAGGAGACCAATAGTTCGTTTTCAACCCACGGCTCATTGGCTATTACCAAGGAATATTTCTAGGAAGTTCTATAATTTTTTAGCATTTCGTTTATGAGATCATTTAAAAATATGTGACCTAATTGAAAAAAATATGAAATAGTATAGATGCTGTTGTTATATAAATTGCATGTGGCAGGAGAAAAAAAAGACTTACAAAATCAAGTTTAATGATTTTGATTGTGATGTAAGTCATGTGTGTTCTACAGCATACTTTAAGATTTTGAGGAGTTGCATGTGTCTTAATACTTTTGCATAACAGACAATTTTTCTAGCAGGTGTTTGCAATTTTTGCTTCACCATTTTTATGAAACTCAAAGAAGGGATAAATTACTTATATAAAAAAAAAATCCACTTAAACATTATAGAATTCAGTTAAAATATTGGAAAATCAGAAGTATCAGCCACATCAGAAATAATTAAATGGATTAAGACATTTTTTAAATTGAAAACAATTGGATTTTTTAATATTATATACCTTTTTTTTAAAAATATTAAGCTTGCAAGGTACTACTCTACTCCAATTCATCTCAAACCAAACTAAACTATATAATGTGAACAAAGAACTGTATCCAATGCTTAACAGTCTAGGGCTTCAAGCTAGGGATTAAAAGGGAAAGTTATTTTCTTCTTTTTAAATTAGTCTAACATAAGTCAAAGTACTTCAATAACACATCAAAGATACATGGGATTTGTCACTTAAATAGAACTATTTTAAAATAAAATTTATACAGCCATTGATACAAATTTATAAGACCATTAGTTTGCTTCCCAATAATGGTGTATTGGTTACACTATAGAATTCAGTTAAAATATTGAAAAACCAGAAGTCTCAGTCATGTCAAGGAACATACTAATAAATTTATCATGAAAATAATGGTTAATTCTACAAATCTAGAATAATTTTAACTGAAGGAAAACTATTTTTAATGTTAGAAAACAAACAGCAGCGGCGTAACTATGGACCAGATGTAAAAATTCAAAAAGTTATGTGTTTTTCTTACAACTGTTTGATAACAATTTAGTACAAAATCACTTGCATTCATTCGTTAAGACACCTCTTCAGTGTGATTTTTAAAATAACAAAATAACTAGATCTAAATGAAAAACATTTGAATAAATTTTAAGAAAATGATTATTTTTATTTCATTGGAAATGAATAGTTTTAAAGTAATGTCATGAAACTTAATAGTAGGCAAAATCAAAATTAAGTAAAAAAGCTAAAAAGTGAAAATTTTTTGTTTTAATGTTATGACTATAAAGTAAATTTTTTTCATGACATATTTTATGCATCACAACAAAATATCCTTGCTTTTTTAAAAAATGAAAATTATTGTTTGAATGCTAACTGCAAAAATGATTTATTTCATTATTTTTCTTCCTTAAAACTCAAGCTTTAAATAGGGGCAGAAAATGTAATTATTACAAAGAAATGTGTAGCGTGAGAAGAAAGTACAGCTGATAAAATCAATACATTAATACAATACAATAATTTCTTTTAAAAATCTAATAATCAAACTCGATTTTTTTAATTCTGACATAATAAATTATAACTTTTCAGCCATTTTGGTTATTGCAGGAAATTTTTATTATGTATTTCTTTACATTTTGGCCATGAAACAAAACCTACTTGATTTAAATTAGATATTTATATGTCAAAATACTATACAAAAGGTTATTTGAACCAAATTTCTTACCTTTATTAAAATTTTCGATTTTAATTAAAGACTCTGACTAATGAAGGTAAATGCAATTATAATTTTACATAGACAATAGCTTTGTAAGGGCATACTAACAGAAAAATAATCAAAACATACTATTTTTTAAGTGATGAAATTGCACCAAATATTGTTCAACAAATTAGATGCTCAGTTCCAGGAGGATATACATTTGATATTTAAAACTTGATCATTCTATTGCAAAATAACTAAAATCTAACTTTAATGCAACAGAAAATGTTAAAAATAACATCTTCATATTTAAGGTTGATCTTAGTATAGAGTAACTGGTATTCAATAAGGCCTATGAATTTTAAGAATGGGACAGCAGGAGTGGAAATGCTTTAATTAAGGTATTTAATATGGTGAACTTAAAAAATATTCCTATTTATCTTATCAAAATTTTATTTCAGTCTATTATTTGAAAAAAAAAAAAAAGAAAGTTATTTCAATAATATTTATTAGCCCCTTATTTAACCTGGGCTTTGAACATGTCATTTCTTGCTAGTTAAAGTTGAAAATCAGTAAGAAAAGCAATCTATTTCTATCCCAAACTTTCATATGACAAGAATAAGGCGAAATTAATAATATCAACAAAAAGAAACTTCCAAAGTTACTGAGTGTTTAAAAAAAGTAAACAATGAAAGTTCCAAATGGAGTGGCTTGTTCGTATATCCGGGTTTGCTTTTAATTTTTCTTCTAATATATCAGTTTTAAGAATTTTTAATCTGAGCGAGTAGTTAAAAAAAGTGACACTATTATAATAAAAAGTTACATATGCTTCACTATTTAGGGCAAAAATCCTTTATTAAAACAAATATAAAAAACAGGATATAAGACATTTGAATGAAAAACATGCACATAATATGAAATTGAGCTAATTCAATGACTAGTTTCCTTGTTGTGATGAAAGCACGCCGTCGACATATGAGTTACAGCAATAGGAAATTAAGAATATTATTTCTTGACACTGAAGAAGAAAAAATTTCAAATTATAAACATTTTAGAAAAAAAAAATTACCTATGTAAAAATGGCAATTTTAAGTTAAATTCTGCAGAAATAAAATATTTTAATAAAAAACTGCAGTTCTATAGTGTGAAAGAGAACATTTTCAAGATAAAAAGACCCCTATCAATCATATCAGTGATAAAATAATGCATAAAATATAAAAATGGTTAGAAGAGTAACGATTATTGTTTTTTCTGAAACAAATTGAAAACTAAACTGATCATTACAACTGCATTGTGAGCCTTCAAAGGCTAATATTATGACTTCTGAAAAATAACCATGTGTGTATATATATATATATATATAATTGTTGTTTGAGAAGGTGTAATACTCTGCTTTTGAGCTGGGTAACAATTTTTAGATAATTTTTTCCTATACAGTAAATTCCAGAATAGTAGTTGATTGGTTGGTTCTGAAGATAAGATTTCCTATAAAATCAGCTGCATAGTTAGGGAGAAGGGGTGCAAGATAAGACATTTGCCCTTGGAAATAGCTTCAAAAGGGTGCTAAACTCAAACAACACAATTTTTCATGTAACATAATAATTATAACACATTTTCTCAATAAAATATTTTTCTCTTTTTGATATCACCTGCTTCATTTGCTAACTATGTATTCAACAACTTCTATTTTGTTTAAAATTGATTTACTTCAAATTTTAACAGGTAGTCTATAATTATTGTTCATTCTTTAATCATAATAATTTTTCATTACCTTTAACAACATCATCATATTGATTAAAAAATATCTTTATTTAATAGAAACTATATTGGCATAACATATATGCTATTTAATATTTAAGAACCAGTTTTTTAAGCAGGGTCAGGCAGGGTTGACTACTTGAGTTTTGATTTTGTTTAAATTTTCAGGAATTGTTCTTTATGTAAAACTATTAGACGCATTTTTTTCTTAGGGGAGTTATGGGGGTCAAAACTGAAGATCATCTGGAACTTTGAGAAAAACACATCTATTTACACCCAGTTGTACTTTTTTGTGAAACACTGAAAATTATTTCACATTCTTTGGCGTCCACACTAACTATTAAAACATGAGTAATTTTTGTGGACCTTAACATTGGAGGTCAAAGGTCATTCAAAAATCTTCAAAATAAGGGCATTTTCTTAGACTTTGTCAAAATCTACTTTATAACTATAAAGGCATATATTTCTGTGAATAATTACTAATGAATAAAATCTAAACACATTAACATGTGTGGTGTATATTTGACGTGACCTTAAAATTAACTTTAAAACACCAAGAACCTGAAATTATACACCACTTTCAAGGTTATTAACTGCTTTCACCAAAACTCATCTATAAGAATTGTTGGAAAAGAAGCCATAGCAGAAACAAAATCAATCTGCAAATATATGGTTACTGAATCAACTTTTATACAATATGGCCCAAAACTTTTTGGTCTGTACCTGAGTAATTGGATACAGAAATAGTTATAGAAAAACAGAAAATTGTTTTAAAAATGGGATTAAGCCTTATCTGAAGCTAACATTCACCTCTGAGGTGAGCTTTAATGTTTATTTAAAATTTACTGAGGGAGAGTGGTGGCAAAACATACCTAATAGTACCTAGGCAAGATATATATTATCTGGTGTAAATTTCTATTTTGAATAGAAAGAAATCACAACCAATTTGACAGAAACAGAGCAAATTTTGGCTCATACTTATTAAGTCATCTGACATCGCTATCCAGACAAGTGAGGTATTGATTCCAATGCTTTTTTTTAAGCAATCAATAGGAACATTTCAGTTCACTAACAGTTCAAAAGTAAAAAGAGATTTGTGAATAAAAAAACTATTATCTATGTATTTACCTACTTAAAATATTTAAACTATTAGTGAGCTGAAGTGTTCATATTGGTTGCTTATAAAAAAAAAAAGAATATGTATCAGGGTGGCCACTCAAATCAGATTTAAAATTTCCCTGATTTTTCCAGTTAAAAATCTTATAATTTCCAGTTCCGGGTTTTGTTTTTTTCTTATAAAGTGTAGGATGTGTATAAGAAAAGTGTCTATATTATTAAATATGTCATTTTTTTCACATATCATGCATGTTGAAGAAATTTTTATTTATTTTTTATGTTTTGTAACAATATTAATTTTTAAAAAATTAAAATATGCGGAGAAAATAATATGTTTAGCTTGGCGAATATATTGTTTTTATGGAATAATTTTTTAAAATGTGTTTCTTTAAGTAGTATTTGCTCAAAGTGTACCTACAAAATGGCAAAAACAGAGTGACCAATAAAACCTCGGATAAGTAGTGTTCAATATCTTTTCATTTAGCAAAGGAAAACTGTTTCAGGTAATTATATATCAATAAACTTTTATAATTACAGTGGCTTCAAAGAGTATTAGTTCACTCTTAACTTTTAATGAAATAGGAAATAAAAATTTATTAATTAAAATGAATATTTCACAATGGGTATTTGATAATAAGATGTATAATCGATTCTTAGCAAAACTGCATGGAATATTTTAAAAACGAAGCAAAAGTTAGTTTTTAAGATACCAATAATCAAACAGTTACAAAAATTTTACACAACGAAAGTCATTGTACAGTTAAAGGTTTTCGGTATTTCAGAATAAAAATTATAGTCAATTGCTTTAATTTTTTTATTTAATTATTTATTTGCAATTTAGTATCAAACATATGATAGCAAAATTATATTTTAATTTTTGCTTGCTAATTCCGTAATATGTAATTTTATCATTTAAAAACGGCACGTGGTCGTAATAAAACAATAGACCAAATTTGATTATTTTTCATCATAAGAAGTAAATCAGTAATAAATATGCTAAATTAGCTTATTGTATTCAATTGCACTGTGCAATATGTGATAAAATGCTTAAAAGAAGAACTTCATATCAGAGATTAAAATTATAAAATTTGTGGAAAATTCATAAAAATGCAATTGAGTGTTGTAGAAGTTTCTGCAAAAATTTAAAAAAAATATTCTGCAAGAATTTCCCATGACAAAAAAAACTAGTTACATGCTTTTAAAAACTATTGTATGTGAGAAGAAAACTCTATTAAATGTTAATTTAATGAAAAATTAGGTCATTTACTAATAGACAAGAGCTTTTTTTTTTTGAAAGTGTACAATGACTTTTGCGGAATATAGTTTTTGTCACTTTTTGATGATTGATTTCTTAAAAATAAACTTTTCTTTTGGTTTTTAAAATATTTCATACAGTTTTGTTAAGATTAGAATACATTTTTTATAATTAAATATCCATTCTGAAATATTCATTTTAATTAATGGTTAATCTTATTTCATTGAAAGTCATAAGTGTACCAACACATTTGTGAGTCACTGTAATTACATTTCAATACAAAGCTGCACTGTATACTGCATTTTTTCTTACCAGTGCTTCTTATAAAATTCATTGATCATATTTTGATTAAACTAATATCTCAAGTCAAATTTTTAAATAATGTTGTTTTGAATTAGCATTATTATTTTAAGAGATTCAGTATACAAAAATAATGTCACAAATGTAAAATTGTCAATTTTTTGTTTTATACTCAATAGAAAAAAAAAAAATTCTTTAAATTTGATACTTTTTGGATTTTTTTTTCTTATTTGAAATTAAAACATTTAAAGAATTCCAATCTAAACACACAGTTTTTTAGTTTAGCATAGTTAATTGTTTTTGTTTTAACAACTAGAATCTTGAACAGCGGTCACATTTTTCTTCTTCCGACTAAACACATATGAATTAATGAAATTTATATTTTATGTTTATACATCATTTAATATGTTTGCTATATATTCCCTAGTCTCTGTCAACTTTTTAGGGTAAAAGGAGGCATAGTTTTGGAAATATCATCCCTGGAACGCAAGCAACATTTATGAACTTTTGATATAGTGATAACTATACAATTCGAATTTTGAATTAAAAATCAAATATTTACCAACAAAACAGCATAATTAAATATTAATATATAGTTGGTACTAAAAAAAACTTTTTTAAAATTAAAATATGTTATAAAAGGTTAAAATGAAGTAGAAAAAATTAGCATTTATGCAACAATTGGTGAACAAACATTGCTGTTCAGAGATTGTAAAGAAATGTATGATTAGTTAGTTTGCTGAGAAAAAATAATTTACAGATTCCTTTGAATGGGAACACAAAAGCTTTCAGAATAAGAGTGCATTATAAAATCTATTATTATTAAATTATAACCAACTAATTTTTGGATAATTTTATTAAGTTAAAAATACAAAAACAGTTTGACTCATTCTGTCAAAATAGAAAAAAACTACCACCAAAGCATCGGAACAAACAAATATCCTAACCACGTCTAGCACAATCTTTGCCTTTCTTAAATTACAGTCCCATAGTCTCCATAGAAATCAAAGGTTTCTACATTTGTTCAGAAACCATGAGAGAATTTAATGTGACATTCTTGTTTAACAGGGTTATAATGGAGCAAATCTTGATGCAAGAAAAGTATAGCTAAGTCGATGACATTTTAACTGTTTGGAGATATATTTCCATCTAAAAAATGTGGGTATAATGGATGAAATAATTTAAATTAAGAAAATTAGCAAATAATTAAAATTAGTGAAATTAAAAAAATTTCTAAGAAAAAATTTCCAGCTTTTCTTTAAAATTCCCTGATTTTTCCAGGTTTTTATCCAAATTTCCCTGCTTTTTCTAGGTGGATGGCCACCCTGTACATACTCCACTTTCCTGGATAGCAATTAGCAATGTCCGACAAATATATATATTAAAATTTTCTCTGCTATTATATAAAATTTAAACTTCTTAACTAAATCAAAGTTTTAAAAAATAATTTACAGATTTTCCATAGTTGTTTCTGTATTCAATTAATAGGTACAGGCCTTAAAATTTGAGCCATAAAAGTCCCACAAACCCCAAATCTGTGGTTTGTGGAACTTTTAAACACAGTAACCACAAATCTATGAATTGATTTTGATTCTGATATACTGAAGGCTTTCTTTCCCACCAATATTGTACTTGTCTAGTTTTGGCAAAGGCAGTTAATGATTTCAAAAATTAAGCAAAATTTCAGTTTCTTGCTACTCTAAGATCAATTTAAAGTACACACCAAATATTAAATAATACACACCAAATAAAGTACACACCACACATATGTCTTATTAAAGAAAATTTATGAAGTTATTGAGGTACTTTGGTTTAAAAAACAAGATTTAAAATTTGCAGAACATTCTTCAATGTGCATTCTACAATGTCATACCAAGAGGGGTGAATTTTAGTTTCTATACTTGGTCCTTAAAAGCCGGACATTTTTATGTCTGACATAATCTTGTAAAGGGGTTCAAAGACAAAATTTGTCATAAACCGTAGCTACACTTTTGGTTATAATACAGAAGAATTCACACAGTTCAAAATTCTTACATAAATTTATAGTAATTAAGAATTGAAATATTCAATCTTAAATTACATAGAATATTCTCCATTGTCATTTTATTTTAGATTCTAACTACATTTACTTTTTTCAAATTTACACATGTTCTAGGTAAAATTTAGAACAGTAAGAAGTGAATCCAGTATAACTGGTTTTCTCTGTTACCTCTCCCACTGTACACATACTCTTAATGTCATAATAAAAAAAACTTTCCTCTCCAATGTCCGTAAAATGTATGTTTAATATTGATGAGGGAATCCACTAGCTTTGGAAATGGTCTCATCAGGGACATTATACAAATAGCATTTGTAATGAGACTGTTGAAACAAGATAAAATGTACAGGAAAACAAAATATATAGGGAAAATGGATCAAGGCTTTATGTCTTTAATAATAAAATTAAAAAAAATCGGTTTTTGCTGCAAAAATTATAAAAAATAGCTTTAAATAACTAACAAACAAAAACTTAGAATAATAAGATTTTTTTTAATGATTTTGGGACAAAATAAAAAAAAACAGCAATTACCACTATAAGCCTAACATAAATTAATCAGTGAAAAATGGATCAAATTCTTCTTAGATTTAGATAGAGTTTTTAAAGTACGTAAAAATTTGATTAAATTTTCAATAAAAATGGAGGATAAAGAAAGAAAACATACTGCTATAGATCATTTTAAAAAACTAATCAGAATATCTGTATAACAAGCTTAAATTATTTAATCAATTACAAGAAAAAAGTCACTTACTGGAAGACTAGAATTCTGTTTAAGTAGTTTACTTTTTACTGTTCTTTTTTATCACGAGCTCCAAAAATACATCTACCAACTCTTACACATGTGCTTCCCAACTCAACCTTAAATGAAATATAATTTATTAGAACATTATGAAAGCTAGGACACTATATATTATTAACTGTATCAAATTTTATTATGCATTAGTGACAGTTTAATGCAAAGTAAAAAAAAAAGTAAGATCAAATAGTTATTTGGGGGTATAAAAGGCAAGGTGAATTGAAGATGCTTCTCTTTTCTAACAGGGACTCTAAAACACAACTAATATTCCTTACACATAGGTACTCTCACTTTTACTCTTAAGTGAAATAGTTAATTAGAACAATATTATAGAAAACAGACAAAGAGATAGATAATTATAACTGCAAATTTTATAGCAATAAATTTAAGGTAAATATTATGTATCAATTTAATGGAATAAAAAAGATAATATAAATTAATAATTCATTAATTTTTATGTTTTAATCAAATTTGTAAAGCATTTTTTCTACAACATGACAATCTACATAATCAATATATGAGATTGTCACATTGATTATATCTCATATATTTTCTACAATATGATATATGCTTATTTTGAAAGAAATTGTGAAATATCAAAAATGTTTATTTTCACTTCAATTTCTAATCAGTTTATAAATCTATACGAATTTTGTGTATTATCTCAATCACAGATTTTTCAAACTATGTTCTGGAAAAGAATTTCCAGTGCTCTGCAGAAAGGTGAGACATGTTTAAAATAAAAACTTTCTACTAATAAGAGTGGCATATTGGTAGTGGGCATTCAATGAGACAGTAGCACAATATCTTCGGATAAAATTTCTACAAATAAAGAAACATCTTTAAAACAAAAGTATCTTATTTGTATTTAATATTGGTTGAAAAATTATTTCTCGGTAATCCAGAATTAACTATCACAAAAGAACAATAAAACCACAAGATTTGTGATGAAATCGGTAAAAATAAAACCATTATTTCATTGCGCAATTCGAGAGTCATAATAATATATATCAAAAATATCGGGATATTCAAAATCATGTAGAAATGTGGATAAATAACTGCTAAAAAAATAGAAACTATCTTGGATTTACGATGAAATTGACACAAAATAAAGCACATCAAAAGTAACTATTAAACTGTGTAAAAAAAGAAAATTAAGAAGTAGGATTAAAAATATCGAGAATTTAAAAACTATATAGAAATCCGACAAGTAACTGTCAAAAACACAACTGAAAAGCTACTTAGATTAACAATGGATACAAGTAAAGTAAATAGAAAATACTAACTTGATACCAAAATAATTTCATATTAAAGATATTAGTATTTTAAACACTATGTAGAAATTTATAGTAATAATCGCAGAAAATGCGATAAAAACTCATACAGATTTATGATGGAATCTGCGCAATTTGAGTACTCAAAAGTGATGACTCAAGTTTTCAATTCAAACTATCTGACCATTTTTTTTTTGTTGTAATTCAAAAAAATAAAAAAAAATAAAAACTATGTTAATTTTTTAACATTATGTTCAGATGTTTGCAATATTTTTGTATCGTGATCTGCAGCACCAACTACAACCACCAAAGAAAGAATTAAATTTTAAACTCGAAATTAAAAAAAAAAAACATTTATAGGGGTGGCTATGAGTTATATCCTTTCTGTTAGTCCCCTTCTGTGTTTTGTTTTTAGATTTTTGTGGAGCACTGCTCGGAAGTTGCCAAGGCTTTGCAATTATTTTGCCACAGATCAGGATATGGATATCCTGCCCAGGTGCTGAGGCAGGCTTCAGGTTGTGCAGCCTTAGATAATGTGTTAGAGTTTTTATTAAATTTGCCACTTTACAAAAGTTAATTCAATTTAATAAATAAAATATAGAAAAATTTTAAATAAATTAAATATTTTATAAAATAAATATAAATTAGCAACTAAATATCAGGAGGTTGTCTCTTAAAAAATGTAATAGTGGTAACTAATATAAAACAAACTCATTACCACTATATATTATATTAATGAAATATATCTGGATGAAAACTGTTGGCTACTAGATTTCTAAGCTTTAAAGTGGTATTTTAAAAAAAAGAAATTCCTGCTAGTATTAATAAAAATTTACTACCACTAAACAAGCTTGGCAAGTTTCTGCCGAGGTGGTTAAAACCACTGGTAGAAACCGGTTAAAACTGGCATGGTAGAAACCCTTTTCTGCCACATTTGTGGCAGAAATTCAGAAATTGACATAAAAGTTAAGTACTGAGATTGACATACAATGGATAATTCATAGAAAAAACATTTAAATGTTAAACAAAGTGATCAGTGAAATTGCTGTTTACATTTATGAATCAGTGAATCTAACCAATTATATTACCTCTTACATACAGCAAAGATTAAAACTGTTACTGTTATAATAATTGGATTGTTGCCATGCAAATTATGTCTTGAAAAGAAAAAAAACTATTTGAAAGTAGCTCTATTCAGTTACATTAAGAGTTAAATGATAACAATTACTGAATTTCAGAGTTTAATATAATAAACTAAAATCTAGTATTTATATTTATTATTACATTACTTTATTTTATATAAATATTTGATATACTGCACTCTTTATATTTAATATAAACAAAATAATATATATTTACAAACAATGAATTACAAAGTTTGTTACAGTTACATTTTTCAGTTTACTTAAACAAAGTGTCATTAAGCAATTACCAGAACTAATATAGAAGTTTTTTTTAGTTTCTGCCAGTTTTTGCCGGTTACAACCAGTTTCTGCCACTGGCATGGCAAAAACCAGTTTCTGCCGGCAAAAAGCCAACCTTGCCACTAAAAGACTGTTAACCTTATCAAGCTCACACTAACCTTACCACTACGAGTTCACCATAGCTTCATGTAGTTATTCATTTGTATAAGCTCATTATCCATTAATTAATATGTCATAAGCATATTTATTCTCAACATAATATCTTTCGACTTTTCTTTTTTTAACTTGCTTCTTAACAATTTAGTGCTTTTCTTTGCAACTATACATGACAGCGTAACAAGTCTGGCCAATCAGCCCAAATTTATAGGGAATCTGTAAATATATCACTCAAAATGAAAATCCTTTATCCTGATAAAAAACAAAAATATTCTGTTTGTCTACACTAGTCCCCTCTCACTTAATAAATTCACATGAAAGCAAAAAAATGTATAATTAAAAAAAAAGAGCCCTATCTTATTTAGATTAAGTATTTCTGTTTGAAAAATAATTTAAATTGATTAAGATAAAATGAAAATTCACAGTTAGGCTTAACTTATTCCTAAAATAAGTATACTACACAGTATTTAAAATATAAAGAATTATTAAATCAACTTACAGCATGCTCATAATCATCAGACATTCCCATACTTAACTCGCAAGTCTCCAAAAACAGAACCTCTGGATCAATAATTCTAGGCGATTCATGTAAAGATCTTCTGCACTTAAGTAAACATTCAAAATCAGGATTAGGTCCTAAAGACAAATCATGGCCAGCGGATCCTATAGTCATTAATCCAAGACAACTCAAATGGGGGCATTTGTCCAGAATATGAGTAATATGCATTATCACTTGATCAGGAGAGATACCACTTTTACCTAAACAGAACACAGAAGCAAATTATACACCTATCTATCTTCAAGAAACTAAATATTGCAGATGTACATAATTAAAAAAAAAAAAAGAGTCAAGAAATTTAAAGGCCATTTTTAGAACGTTGTTTAAAATGTTTTAGGAATTTCTAGGAGTTCGTCCAGACGTTTGTAAAAGATCATGTTGTTCTGTTTTTATATAATTGTAAACAAATTGCTCATGATTTCTGAATCAAAAATTAGCATTAAGTTTAGTTCTTTCACTAATATGAATTTGTGCAAATATTGTCCTATTATTGCGAAAATTGAAAAAAAAAAAAAAATATTTGACTTTCAGGGAGTTTTAGTTACTAAATTTTAAATAGATAAAAAATTATGCTTAATACTGTAAAATTACAGTAAAAAAAAACATATTTAAAAATTTAAAAAGTAAATACCAATTGCTAATATTAAATAAGGGATCAGGAATGCAACAAATATTTGTCAATTCAGCCTATTCATCTTGAATATTTGTTTTAGAAAATAATAAAGTATTTGGAAGAGAGGATGAACAGTATGAAGAGGGACAAAGAAAATAAAACTTTGCAGTTTGTTTAGAACTGTTTCTTACTGGGAAGAGTTAATTTGAAAGCACAACATTAATTATGAAGATAAAGAGATATGTGAATGGTCTGTTTGAAAGATAAAGTATTTTGTAAAGGATCCATTTTTATGTTAAAATATTTTGTGAAGGAACTATTAAAGGGTTTAAATTTCTTCTAAACAGACCCCCAAGATTTCAAAACCAGAGCAATAATTAAATCACTCTAAAAACAAGATTTTTTGTACCTAAGGGTTATTACTACTTAAATACTAAAAAATGGATAGAAAGATTTAAAAAGAAAAATATTAAATTCAATGAATATTCAAATTAACATCAAAATGTTAAACTTTATTCATTTAAAATAGATAAAAAAAACCCATTCCTAATAACAGATAAAAAAACAATAACAATTCAAACTTTTATAAAAATAAATATTGTGATGAAGAGCTTTTGCAAACTAGGTTAGTATGATACCAATCTCAATCTTTCACTTAATTTGCCTAATTAGAAATAAAACAGCCAAATAGCTAGGTTTTCTAGTTAAAATCAGAAGAAAATAAAATATGCCAGTGGCCTAAATGGAATATAAAATTTCGTTGAAGTTCAATAGATATGCCCAAAATTTCAAAGATATGAAAATTTTGATAGTTTCAGTGACATATACTACCATTCAAATAAAATTTTATTTTAAAAGAGTTAAGTTTTATATTCTGGCATATGTTGAAGAGTAAAAAACGGTATTTATAAACAAACATTAAATCAACAACAGACACAGAAATATATATATTTTAAAATGAGAAAGGGTATATGCCATTTGTTATAGGCAGCTCTATTGATCACTACTTTTTGAAATCAAAATAATAAAATCATTTAACATCCAAGACATCTAATCTTCTTATATACTATTATTTCAAATAACATCAAAGATCAGAATGCATTTTCTCTGTTTAAAAAAATATCAGATAATAAGAATTCAAACTTAGAATGAGATACAATGTATTTGCGATTTTAATTTTTTGACATTAGTGTATATTTCTGTGCTTAAAATAATTTTATGCAGACATTAAATGTTCAGAATTTGTTCCATATAAAGTAATAAGGAAGTAAAATAAATTTTAACTTTAATACTTTTACAATTTGAATATTTTGTAAAATTAATTAAGTGCTGGAAATGAACAGAAATGCCAGCATAAAATTTATAATAAATTACCTTCTTCTCCACTTGTGTTGACCTGAATCATTATATTCAGCGGCTCTTCCTTACCAGTTGCAGCCCATTTTTGTTCAAGAGCATCTGCTAGCCTCGTAGAATCAACTGTTTGCACCATGTATAAATTCGGAATACCTAAAGAACCAAAAAGAAAGATTATTTATATCAAAATATTTATTAAAATTACATTAGAGACATAGTAAGAACTGATATATGTCAGTAGTCAAATCACCTTTACCAGTAAAACTAAAATTTATAACTAATGCATAAATTTCAATCATTTTTGAAATAATTTTTCATTTATTCTATTTCAAACTTGCTTTTTTATTGTTCTTAGTACCAGAAATCCCCAACACCTACAAATTGCACACTTTTATCTACCCCTGATTTCATGTACAGTAATAAACACATTTGTTTTTTTAATAATTAAAAAGCACCAGATAAGGAAAAACATGCACACTTTTGCTTTATGCATACACTAGTAGCGATTTTAATTTAAAATCATGATTGCGGAGTCTAAAGCTATTAGTAAGTTTTTCAGGAGAGGCCTTTTAATATCAGCTCCTGAGTATAAAAATAGATAACTTAAAACACCCATTTTAAAAATAAATTTATCAATTAATTTAAAGGTTGCCCATCTAGAACACCAACTATTAAGTGTCACACAAGATTAGTTGTAGAAATATCTAGGTTAAGTATTTCAAAGGTATAATTAGAAAATTTAATTATTAAAATTTAAACATAACTAGAAATAATAAAATATTGAGTTATCTAGTTTCAGTAACTCAATATCTATCTAGTTTTTCCATCTTTTTTTTTTAAAGGTTGTCCAGGTTTAAGGTTGATCTGACACTAGCCCTTGAAGCTGCCCAAAAGCCTATTGCGCACTGGAACATTAATCAAAGTATATACATCAATTCTATCAGGAAAAGTCTAAATATTACTTAATCCATATGATACACAGTTATGTTTTATTGCTACTTTTTAATCAGATTTGTTACAAAGACCAAGTAGCCTTCTGGGTAAAATCCACTATTAAGGTGGAGTAATAACTATGCTTAATTTTGTGCCTTTAAAATGAAGCTGCAGCTCACTGGAAGTTTGCAATTCACACTTCAAGATTCACTGAGCAATTTATTAAAAAAAAAAAAAGAAAGAAGCTTTTCTATCTGATGAAGCAAGCTTCTGGGCAATCTTCCATAGCAGTAAAATAACTTGAGCCCTTATTGGAACTAATATATGCAAATCTTTGCTCAATAAGTGTTCAAAGCAACGTTATTTTCTGATATTGGTCATGTATAGAATTATCCAATTCACTCGATATTTTACAGCCACTTTACAACCAATATTGGCCTTTTATAAAGTTATCACATTCCCTGGATATTTTATATTCATTATTCAGCCAATATAGGTTATTTATTTTATTTACTCGAGAGGTTATTTATTTATTAGGTTATAGGTTAGTTATTTATTTTATTGACTCCAGATGAAGAACTACTAAATTGTCTATGACAACATACCAAAGACAGAAATCAAACCTGAAGCAATAACTTCTTAGTTAGATGCAAACTACTACTAACATTATATCAATTCTGTAGCTAGAATTTCTAAAATGGTAAAAATTTAAAACATATTGTACATAAAATTGACACCATTGTTTTAAGGGATTTGCTTGATATTCATTGCTGACAGCTAATAAAAAAATTCCGTACTTTTTCTATTTTCTGCTTACCTAAGTAACAAAAAAAAATTTTAAACTTTAATTTTATAACACAATTACAAGATGTGTTTAGAAGACATCTGACCCCAAGTAATTCTTGTAGGGAGAAAATATTACACATTACGTGTACACAAATGTTACACAGGATTAGTCTAAATGACTGTTTACTCACAGTATACAACACATAATGATTGGTCACACATATTAAGATACATACGCTCATTAAGTTTCTGGTATAAACTGCAAATGCTTATTGAGCATGTTGTTCGTCACTTGATACATATCCCAATGGTTATCCAGTTAAAAATACAAGTTTAGAGTTGGAGCCCTGTGCTATTAGCTTGGTATGTGTATGCATTTTGTAATTTATAACTAATCTTTTTAGGAGGTATGCTTCAAAATACATAGTGTTTGGAAACCTGAAGAGCCTTGAAGATTAATTATGCATTTTAGAATTGATTTCATATTGCGCCGAGAAATTAAATAAGATTTCATTAGAAAAATATTGATCTTTTAAAAAGTCTAAACAGTTTGTAATAAATGTAAAACACATAAATAATAATAGGACATTTTTCAAAAGTTGGAATAAAATTAAAGTATTTAGAAGATTTGTGTAGATATTAGTAAGGTTTGACTGCCAGATGGATATGTATTAATAAATAAGTGTGATTACATATTCAATTACTTATGTTGTGGTAAAATAACAGATTTAGAAAAATATATCCCGGCATGAAAGTGGTAAAAAATAGAAAAAGCCGAGCATTTACAACATTAGGGAAGTGGAGGGAGGGAGTGCTCTCTGTAATACTGTGATATCAATAAAATATATAAAAACATAGCTTCTAATTCTGCATTGAGATTTTGATTTTATATTAAAAGTGGCAGTCGCATTTAGATAGTGAAATTTAAATTATTTTTTAAACATAATTTTAAACTTCTTCGACCACTACTATATTAAGGAAAATTAAGCAATATATAGGGCTTAATAATCATCATTATAAATTAATTGCCAGTCAATCATTTCAAATTAAAACAGTCTCTAACTTCCACCTCAATAGCTTCCGATAGATAGTTACTAACAGTTTTAGTCACTTTGACTGCTTTATTTAACCAATCAAAACTTGAGTTAATTTTTTTCCAGCAGCATCGATCGTACACACTTTGTGTTCGCCCATCAAATTAACTTCAATTGTTGAAATACATTCATCTTATGATGCATCATATGAAAAAGGACACAAGTAAACAGAAAACTAATTGCTCAGGCAAATGCAGGAATGCCTAAAAATAAGAACTAGCAGAGTTGAGAGAATTATAATGAATGGATGTACAAATTGAATATGAACCACACTAATGAGGAAAGCCCTGGATCAAATATCGGCGACTGAAACAAAACTGTTAAGAACTCAACAACCAAGAAACTCAATCTTTCCTCTCTACAGCGGAAGTCGTGGTTGTAAAGGCAACCAACCACCCTCTGAAGCTCCATCCATTTTCTCCTGACGATTATTATTTTTCAGGAGGCTACAGCAAACAAAAAAAAGTTTGTTCTAGGTGCGGCATCATTCAAGCGGCTTATGTTTCCGCAGTTAAGGGGTGGGGGGTTCTATAATAATTGGACCCCTTGAAAAATTACATTTTTGGAACATTGTTAGAAATTTTAAAAACTAGGAGAATAAGGCGATTTTCCACTTTTTCACAGAATTCTTTTATCCTTGTACATCAAAAGCTGACTTCTTAGATAAAGAAAAATCATACTTAGGTTGATCACTTAAAATTCTATGATAAGGATTTAAAAAACACAAGAATATAATTTAAAAATTTTCACACAGTATGTGTTGAGATAAACAAGTCTTTCAGAACAGTTTTCTGATCTATCAGACAGATATTCAGAGCTATATTTCAAAAAATTGGCTAAACTACGATCCATTTGCTTGAAAAGATCAGTGTAAATTCTATGTCTTTTGTTTGTAGCATTTTGAATTAAAAGTTAGTAGATAAATTATAAACAGAATTAAAATGTTAGTATTTTTTATAAATGTTAAAAAGATGAAATTTAAATAACATACCCAGCAGCTTTGCCACTTTATTTGTTTGCAAATGACCAATGAAATGCCATTTTATCTCAGGACACATTTCCAATATCTGAATTAAAATAAATACAACACATAAATAGTCAGAAATATACACCATAATTACTTTACAACTATTGAGACAGTCAGAGTATTACCTAAATACATCCCTTAATGTACATTTCTAGAATATTTATCAAAAATGAAACAGGAAAAGCATATACACTGGGATCAGAAATTAATATTTGAGCGAGGGTGTTTCTAACAATTGCCTTCTGTCAATTCTCTATGTCTCAACAACTGTCAATTTCTCTATGTTTCATTCTACTATCATGACTGCCTTGTACTGCGATTTGTCATATTTTGATAGTGTTTTCGATTTTTCCCTTGTCAAATAATAATTTTCAGCCTCCATACTGAAAGTTTTTGTTTTAAATTTTTGATAAGAATTCAAAGGATACATATTAAAGGAGGTGTTTATGAAACATCTTGCACAATAATGCAATTTCAATACTAATATACAAAGGCTAACTTAAGAATCTTTTGATTTTACAGATATAGAAGAAAACAATTTTCTATTCATATCTTTTGTTCATAACAAGTTAAAAAAATACAATTGTCAAAGCATTTTAACCTTTGAAGCACATTGATTGAGGGCAAAACTGCACAGAATTATCTCTGCAACACATTCTTTTCTCTTTGAACAACAAAAGGAAAGTTTTGTTTGAAAAAGAAAAGCATCAGCTTGAAGTTTGTAAAAAACTGAAGCTAAGACTCAGAAGGTAAAGCAAAACTTATGCAACTTTTAGCTGATTGTACCACTAATAATATTAGTGTTTGTAGTTGTCCCGAAATAAAATTTTTCTGATAATTTATTTATTGTTATTTGTCTTATTTTTTGCTTTTTGTCTAATCTATCTGATTTGTGTGTGTCAAATATTAAAGCAGTTCTTAAGGAGAGCTGTATGAATAACTTAAAGATTTGGATTTTTTATTCTATTACCCTGTTATTTTAATTAATAATTCATCCAGAAAATTACATTTGAACACAAATGCTAAGGCATACATTCTCTGTGTTATCATTTCAAAAATATTGACACCTCTCTTTATAATAATTGATCAAAGAAATCATAAATTCGCTTGCAAATTTTAAATAAATATTGGCACCGTCATTCGGGGCTACTTTGTGCAAATTCGAATTCGGCATTTTTCAAGTGCTGCTATTCAGTATTATGTTTATTTCACGTTAAAAATGTGTGAAATTTGAAGATAGAAGTCTCTTCTATTACTACAAATTTTTTTTTCGAATTTTAAAACAATCTCAGANAAAGTAGCCCCGAATGATGGTATGAAAAATTATTAACTAAATGATACTGATTATTTTTTTAATGAACAGCACCATTAAATTTTTTCAAATATCGATTCCAAATTGTTATGAATCACTTGGAGCTCTATCAAAAGAATTCTACTGGAAAAATTGCTAAAACTTATTTTTTTGGAGTCATTCTAGAATTAAATAGCAATTTTTGCAATAAAATTGGTCTTTATTGTATTTAAGATTATACTTTTTTTCTTCAGTTTGTGGTTAGTCCTTTTTTTAAAAGCAAGATAATATATGTATATTGTAAAAAAAAAAACAATTATCCTGTTTTTTTTAGCTCACTAAGAGGTCTACAAGTTACTTAGTAACATAACGCAGCATTAAATAAAATAAAATGAAAATTTTATAAATGAATTCTTTTTGTCAAATTGCTTTTTTAACACAAAAAATGCATTACAAAAATGTTAAAAAAGAACAAAATCATAGCTTAAGAATGATAAAATTTAATATTTTTTATTTGGTTCTATTTAAATGAAAACGATAAATAAAAAAAATAAATAATTAACTCTAAAAAGATCATATTTAAAAAAAAAAAAGACTAGAGTTGTGAAACAATTTTTTTTATTAACAGAGATAATTTGCTTAATAATAACAAAAGATTAACTAATATTTCTGAAAAAATATACATCAAACTATTAAATAGGCATCATTATATTTAATTTAATAAAGATTAGCACTAAAAGCTTAACAAAGTACCAAAATACTTTTTTAAATTTTAATTACAAAAATGAAATAAATAAATAAACATGCTTATCTATTTCTGAAAAAATAAATAAATAAGGGATTGTTGACATATTGAGCAAACTTTATTATAAATAATAGTTTCTTTTTAAGGTATGTAAGGAGAATTCAGAATAATAAAAATATTCATAACATTAAACTTATCTGCACTTTCTTTAAACCTAAAGAGGATTCTCAAATTCATATTAGTTGTTAAAATAGGTGGTCATGACGTGGTAATTTTTTACCATTTACTATTCAATATTACTTTGTCAAGAAGTTAATAAAATATTTTTTAAGATTTTAGTTTTTATTTGATACCAAATGTATGAGAAGCCTTGAGTCATGCCAATGACTCAAGGCTTCTCATACAATTGATTCAGTGAATGCAATACGTGGTACATAATTTAAAGGCATTACTTTGAAGCTGATATATTTAAATAATTTACCTCCGGATCAGAAGCTTTTTCAACCAATTCATTAACCTAAGAAAAACAAACATGACACTAAATTATTTTTTACAAAATATGAAGAACAAATGAAATCCTTTAAATTAACAAATAACCAAGATCAAGATATTTACGCTTAGAGAGTTTTTACATACACATTAAAATAATACCTAAAACCCTGAAAAATTAATAAATATCTGAAATCGTACTCCACTGTGATAAAAAATATGCTAAATACCGTAAAAGAAATTATGTTAAGAAAAAAAAATCACATCTTTTAATTACACTATCAGTCATATTTCTTACACCAATTATTACTTTAAATTAAGTATTGACTAACTAACAAATATATATTTCTGTTAAATTTAAACAACAGTTACTCAACTAAATAACAAAAAAAAAAAAAAAAAAAAAAAAAAAAAAAAAAAAAAANAAAAAAAAAAAAAAAAAAAACAAAAAAAAAAAATTTGTATGAAATAAAGTGGTATACAATTTATTTAAAAATGAATATTTAATATTTTTCTTTATTCCAATAACAGGGGCGATATTCTCACATTTTATCGGAGGAAAACACACTAATTATTTCCCAGTTTGCATTTAATCAAATCATCATCACATCAAAAAAATAAGTAATTAGAAGTCAAATCCATAGCAATAACTATCGAAAAAAAAAAAAAAAAAGATCAACGTCGAAATCATGTGAACCACACTCTTTAAAAAGGGCATGTTCTTTTTCCAGAATCGGCTATTGTAATACATAATATCATATTAAAAATATGTGATTTTAAAAACTGTCTAGAATAGGGATGCACAACTTTTTTAAATGAAGGGCCACTTGCACAGCAGGTAGATTAATGAAGAGCCGCACGCTTATTTAGTCATGTTAGCAGCAAATATGATAATTTTTATCTAAACATTAGTGTCCTAAGCACCAAATATTTTAATCAGTTAAATTTTTAACTTAGCATACTTGCAAAAAATTAAATACTTTTGTATATTTGAATTTATTTAACTTAAACTGATATATATATACAGGGGTCTGTCTAGGTTTTTCTGAGAGGTACCTATTTTGTAAAAATTTAGACATAAACTGTGAAAAATAAAAAATTATATTTAAAAATCCAACACAAAAATATGGCAAGAATATGGATTTATCATTTCTTAAGGAATACAAAAATAACATTTTTAAAAAAAAGTATTTTGTGAAACTACCGTTTTTCCTAAAATTAAATTTGTGAAACTACCGTTTTTCCTAAAGTNATATATATATATAATATAACTGATATATAAATAATATAATATATAATCGGGGAAGGATATAAATTCTAACCATAAAGAAGCTTACAGCATAAAAGTGAAAAAAAAAAAAAAACGCATTTCATAGAGTAATATAAATTTTAATAAAAGAAAATAAATAATGTTTATACAAAAACCAAATTAAAAGAAATTTCTTATTGTTATCAGAAGATTCTGCGGGCCGCACATCAACAGTCGACGGGCCGCATGTGGCCCGCAGACCATAGGTGTTGCACCCCTAGTCTAGAAATAAATGCCCCTCACAAAAGAGTGATAGTATCATTGCCTTAAAAATTAAATATTCATGTGAGCGATTTGAATCTCTCTTATTGTCAGAAATATATTGACATACTTAAAAACTTTGCGAAAATCAACATCAGTAACTGCCAAAAATAAAATTGAAACACTAGCACAGATTTGCAATAGTATCAGCAAAAACTGAGTGTATCAAAAAGTGATTACTTAAATGTGCAATAAAAATTTTACGTGTAGAAATAATATCAACTGAGAAATCACTGGAATTTAAAAAAACCCTGCAATTCGGTAGCACTAGCATTAAAAAGTGAAAAAAAAAACAAAACAAAAACAATAAAATAGTCACACAAAAAAGTGAAGAATTGATTCGAGTTTAGCGTATAATTAAAATTTATAAAAAAAATATCGGAATTTGTTTTTTAAATGTGAAAATTCGTAGCAATGAACTGCCGAAAGAACTTTTGAAATACCGCATGGATTAACGAGAATATTGGCGCTAAACGAGCGTGCCAAAGAACAATATCTTGCATCCGCAATTCAAATTTCGAGTGCCAAAATAATTTTAGTATATTTCTTCACAGTAATAATAACTGAGCTATGAAAGACATTGGAATTTTGAAAAAACAAAGCAAAACTTCGTGGCAACAATTGCAAAAAAAAAAAATGTAAAACACTACATATATTTACAATAGAATCGGCGCAAGTTCTGATCAACAAAGTGAATACTCAAATGCGTGATTTAAAATTTTCATGTGTGTAATTAAAAAAAAAAAAAATATTGGATTGATTTCATTTCAACCCAATTAAAAAAAAATGTAGGACATTATTTTGCTACTAATCATAATTTATAATAAAATCCCCTCTCACAGTAAATATGGTATACTTGAAACTATCTGCGTGATTTGCAGAATGAGTTTCAAGAACATGATTTCTAAAACGGAACTATCTTTTCAACAGCGATATAGTTTTTTCTTCCTCCCCTCATATTTTGTAATTGAAATTGTAGCTGAAACCAGTCATTATCGAAATTTTTTTATTCCTAAATACGAATCTAAAAATCACAACCATCCTCAGATGGACATAAATGGAATTTTCTGAAAAATGTAGTAAAAGTTTTGTTATATAATGATTCTGCAGAATAAAAGTCTCTTGAAAACCTCCGCAGAAAGAAAACCAATTTTTTTAAACTTTATTTCTCTTATTCCCATATATGAATAGAAAAATCCAGACAATTCTTTCTACTCCTATGAGCAAAAAGGGCATCTTTTAAATATAATTTCAGAGATAAAGAAATTTTGAAAATTTCTGCATAAAAGAAAACCAAATTTTTCTGCAAGAACTCTGTAATGTCCTGCGACAATGTCGTTGTGATTCAGCCATGCGGTCTTTGACAAGCAGTAACCCTTTTATACATACCTTATGATTAGATAAGCCAAGAAAAGGGAAACTTCTCACTTTTCCTCAAGACTTAAAGAAACATTATTCAGTAATGAGAGTTACGTAATAATAGTAAGTAATGACGGTCAAAAGATTGATTGAATGTGAGGAGATAGATTAAATTAAGTTTTAATTTTATAGAAGAAATAGTTTTTAGTTTCTAGATATTAATTATTTTCAATTAATAAAATTCATTGTTTATTTTAAAATTAATAGTATTCTTTCAAGATTTAGTTCTAGGTGACATTACAACACATGATAACTGTAAAGAAAGACCACAATCCATCACATAAAATAAGAAAGAGATTACATTTTTTAAGATAAACTTACATAATTTTCCCCAAAGTGCCTCAATCCACAATTATACGCTTCAACTATCATTTCCTTGGGTTTGGTTTTAGAAACAGCCACCACACGGACATCGAAGAATTCACTCTGTATAAAAAAGATTACCATAATAAAAGCAACAATATTAAAAAATATTCTATAAAAGTTTTCATTAAATTAATAGAATACCTTATAAAGGTTTCATTTTTTTTTATATTTACATAATACATATTTAAACTAAATATGACTGATTGTGCAGTTAGTTCAACACCAACTAATGATGAAAGAGAAAAAAATTAAATTAAGAGAAAAAAAATTAAAACTTCTTGATTTTTGCTCCAATTTAACAGGAAACTTATTCAAGTGGTTTTATAGAAAAAGTAGTTGTAACTCTGTTCTCTCCTATATGCACATAAGATTTTAGCTAGCTTTTAAAAAAATAACTAATGAATTCATATTTATGATTAGGATACAATGCTTTGCAAGGATCATACTTCTTTATTAAATAAAACAATGTATAACACGATCGAAATTTTTGTTGTCTAATCTATCTAAAAACTAAAACGAAATTAACGACGCCACCAGACAGTAACAACATTCTAATTCAAATCAAACGATGAGGAAATAAATAACAACTTACAGAGATAAGCAAAATATAGAAATCAAGTGTGGTTTAATGAAGTATGTTTGAGAATAAACTGAATATAAAATATTACTGTCCATAATTAGATCTTTAAAAAGCAAAACAGAACACCATTCTAAATATGTATGTACCTCTAAACGAAGCTCCTGTGCTTCCTCAACCTTTCTTAAAACATCATCAATAGCTTTCTGCATATCAAAAACCTCAGATGAAGCCATTTTTCTGAAAATTTTCAAGTTTAAAAGAATTAAATTCAAAAAGATTTACTTAGTGATATTTCTCGATTTCATAAACCGACAAATCAAACCATCAGAGTGATTGATGATTGCTTTTAAAGCAGAATACATGTTCTAGTTAGCTTCTAGCTTTGCACGTCTGTCCTCTGAATGTGGCGCTGCAATCTTCTGTATTAGAATGCTCAACATAATTGCAATGCTCAAATGCGCCATCTAGAGAGAAGACCGGTTCCATGTTTTAACTCTTCCCTCTTCTCAGTTGTATAGGAATGTCAATATATATTTAAAATATTTTTCAAAATTTCCACTACGTTTTCTTTTAGAACTATTTTCAATGTAGTTTTCAGTTTCATATAGTTTCATAACTTAAAAGTTTTTAATATAACTGAAAATCAAGACAGAAACTTACAGATTTCCTCCTCTTATGACTCTCCACGCGCTCATGATTAAAGCATGCGAAGAGTTGCCTTAGGTTGAGAGTTCTGCTTTACGCCACCTGAAGCTCATTTCAATCACCAATCATGCGTTCAAGAACTCTCAGTCTTAATCCGATAACTAGCGCTGAATGTTATGTTGATTACGTTATCAATGTGCTTTGCTTTCTGTTCGTGTGGACAGTTAACCCATTTTGGGAATCTTCACACAAAACTAAGGCTTATTCTTTAGGAAATAAATGTAGGTGAGGCAGAAGGGTTACCTAGATTAAAATATGCAAATGATATGCCTAGATTAAATAATGCAAGAACTGCAAATGTTTGTATGAACACAATACGCTTTGATATTCGAAAAAAATGCAATGATAATTAAAGAAAATAAGTTGTTATTATTTTTTTAAATTTGAAAACAAAACAATTATATTAAGTGTATGAGGTAAAGCGGGATGGAAAGGAAAATTAAGAGAAAGAAGAAAAAAAAAGAAATTAAAAGAAAACATACAATTTTTGAAAATGTATAAAAATAAGGTTGTTTTATATTTTTTTACATTTAAGCAATCAAAAGGGTCTTGTGGGATCTAGCCCCTCATGACTGAGTTTGCTAGATAGAATGGGTAAGATATTTTTTACTAATATATAAAAAATGGTTTCACACACATTTAAAACCATGTTTAAACTTTGTGAATATTTCTCGTATTTTCAATCCCTTTTTAGGTTTAAAAATAAATTACAGCTGATACATTACAGATAAAAATATAAAAATGTAGTACTTCCCGTTCCCCAATTCATGTTAAAAAAGCAAGGTAACGCTAGAAATATGCAGCAACGAGCGTATTCACTCATTTCTACTCAAAGGAAAAAGCCTTCTTGACGCCTAAAAATAGCGAGCTTCATCTCGTCCTGCAACACCGTTGTGCCCACATTTCCCACATGTGATAATTTTTGGTTGAGTAATCTTATACTCCTCCAGTTAAAAAACTAAACAAAGTATAACATAAATCATGAATAATTCTGATGTAATGTTTTTTTCCCATATGGAAACACTTTGTGGTCTTTGGAGCTGGTTCGAATTCCCCTGCGATTGTGAGTGTTATGCATACTTATTTTACTTTAATTATGCTTATAATAATTAAAATACAATCTTAATATTTAAGGAAAATGCCAATTACTTAATATTTGTGCTGTTTGAAGCAATATAATATTTAATTTCATTCAATTAATAAAAGTTTAAATAAACTTTTTAATAAACTAATTAATAAATTTTTAAATAAAAGTTTAAGTATTTTAATATAAATTCGAATAGTAACTTTTTCATTTCATAATTAACTATGATAATTTAAAGTAATAATTATAACACTGAAATAATAAGTTAACATTTATTTTTTAATATAAGTTTAAAAATTATTATTATTATTTTTGATGAAACGATATAAGATTTAATTCTAAAAAATGGCAAGTGTTTGGTGCAAAGTAAAAATTTGCAACTTTTTATTTAACTCCAAAAATAAATAAATAAATAAATTGCAGAATTATATCTGAAAGTGCTTTTATTAGTAATATTTTTAATTAAAAAACGTAAATTTCTCCTGGAACAGCCAGTAGTCAGGCAAGAGGTAGGTACTCTGATTGCGTCAAACTAAAGCTGCCCAATGGGCTATTGAAGACTGTCTGGGAAACATCCCGGAAGTTGATTCGAAGACATACCATCAAAATTTTGATCTTCTGTAGCGGGAATGGATCTCCCGTTTTGGTAGCCCGACGCCCTGCACGGGAAGTTAAACACATTACGGTAGAACAGCTTATTGAGGACCGATACCGAGCACTCTTGGTCCCTACGCAGGCTGATCAAAGTGGTCAACATCCCACTTAGTGACCGCAGCTAGTAATGCTTGACTTCCGTGTTCTACTGGCATCCGTGTCCTTACAATCAGTCCATTGCGAAGCAGTCGACCTAGAGGCTATGAAAGTTAAGATTCCACAATTTCAAGATCGGAATCATAATGGTAGCAATGGATATTAGCATCGTTGCAGTCAAACTGGTACTTACATAATTTGAAGCACATGGTTTCTTCCCCCTTTGCTTTTATACCAAGTACAATGCTTATAACTGATGGCGTTAATGGTGAAAAAATTAGAATAACATCCGAGTTGAATTTATTTTCTCTTCCTAGAACCTAACACCATTGTACCGATGGATAACTAGTCATCTTTTCATTCTGTGATGCAGTGAATGTAACTATTTACCACGCTTACAGATGAAACGTAAATATCTGTCTCAACTTAGACCAAAATCTAAACATATACAGGTCTTGAAGCTTGCTTGTTCCTCTTCAAACAGAGCTTGTTGAGCAACTAAATCAGTTTAGCCTCTTTTCTGCCTTTGAATAAGAACAAAACTTGAGGTGAAAAATTTAATTATAAAATGAATTTTATAAGTGTCACACCCCATTTTGCTCATGCATTTTTGAGAAATGTATTTATTTTTGTGGCTTTATTTCCTTCTAGATGGGATGTTAATAAAACTGACTGATTATAAAAAACACTGATCCAAGTGGTCACTCAAATACGCACTGACCGCAGCCAGTGATACTTGACTTCGGTTTTCTACTGGGAACCGTGTCTTAACTATCAGTCCACTGCGGGACGTTCAAACAATTAAATAACCTAATTGATTTGTTTTATTTATTGATTGGCGGCACTGAACTGCCATTGCGAAAAACTGGAGTATGATCTCCAGAGATGGCTTAAAGCCTACCTAGATTCATATGAATAATTAAGGTGTTGTGCAATGCTTACCATCTTGTCACAATCATGGCGCTGTTTTCGAAATTGTAAAACCTTAATCTTTATGACCGCCCTGGCTCAAAACAAACTGTTGCGGGAATGCTTTTCTTTCACTTTTTCTAATTTTTTTAGAATATTGATTTTAGAATAGTAGAATAGCGATACGCAATCTGATGAGGTACAGGCAGGAAATTTTGAAATATCATACGATACATCACGATAATGTTGGGTTAAACTCTGAATCATTGCTTTATTAGTGGAACTCTTCAGAATAACGGGGATGTTCACATTTCGTTCTGCGAAAACGAAAGTGGATGTTTTAAATTTTTCGTCCAATTTCAGGAAGCTTGCTATTGTTTACACTCTGATACCATTGGCAACGTTTTAGGATTCATCCGTAATGATAATCCGAAGACAATACTGTCACATACATGTAATGCACTGCTACAACTTATATCGGAAGGCAGATGGGCGTAGTAATAATCTAGCTTCCGTACCATACTCCCCAACCGTCAATTGTGAAAATCTGATCAAGTATGTGACTGAAACAATCGGGAACATAACAATATAGGGGATTCTGAACCAATTATAATACAGAATCGGAAAAAGCACAATCCTACTGATATCCAGTTTTTAGAATGGGTGATTGAACTTCCGCCTAAATCGTGGTAAGTGAAGATTAAACTAACCACACAGTACAGGTGGCCAGATATACGTAATATGTCAAATAAGTAAACAAATTTTAAAATGATGTAAGGCCGAAAAGTGTTTAGAAATAAGAAAAATAATTTGAGATTATTTATTTTTGTATCATTTCATTTTATATTTCAAAATTGCTAATTCTAAGTTCCACAGTGGATGGATCGTAAGACACGGCTTTCAGTAGATCATCGCAGTCAAGTATCTTTGGCTGTGCTCAGTAACAATTTTGATCAATTAAGTCTCAGTAACAATTTTGATTTGGTGGGTGACAATTTCGATCAGTCTGCAAATGAACCGAGGGTTGCGGTATCGTTCTTCATTAAACTGTTCCACCATAAACTTTACGCGCAAGGTCGTCGGTCTATCAAAGCGGAGCAGCCATACCCTCTGAAAAAGATTAAAGTTGAGATGGCATGTGTTGGGATCATTCTCAGGAATGTCAAACTACCTTCAATAGCCCATTGGGCAGTTCTAGTGTGACGCAAATAAAGTACTGATACTTATAGTACTACTAATTCTGAATAGCTGTTTAATTTTTTTTAAATATTTAATAACTGATTGAAATAGATTTTATATATCTGTTTAGGGGCTGTTCACAACTGATATCACTCTTGGAGATAAAGGAAATTGTGACAGTTGTGACAAGGGGCTGGGAGGATTTAACACAAATGGTGATATCATACTTTTAGGTAAAAATAAGAACATTCAAAATCAGCAGATTAAATATTTTTTTAAATATTTTTCATTAAAATGCATACACATCTTATTATAACTGTTAAGCTCACAATTCTGATCAAAGTAAACGTTCAAAATTAAAATTTGAAATATGTTCTATAACGTGTGTATCGTTTCTATACTGCTAGTACAACATGTTTATGTAATATAGCGTGACATGTGACATGGGGGGGGGGGCAAGGTATATAAAGTGTAACTTTATGATTAAAGGGGAGGTGGGGGTCAAAACTACTGAAAAAGTGTGACATCGCTTAACGACGGCTCCTTAGTTTGAAAAAAATTAAAAAATACTTTTGAAAGTTAAAAAAATTGAATAAGTCCGTACACAGTATATAAACAAGCAGCTAGATTTTTCGGAAATTAAAAATTTATTTTCAAAATCTTTACATTTAAATCTTATATTTTTCGTAATTAAAAATTATTTAAGTTAATTATTAGTAGAATATTTTGAAAGTTATCATATTTCGATTCAATCT